AAGGAAAGTTCATTGCGGGCTCATGGTTTCAGAGGTCTCATTCTATAGATGGCCAACTGCATTGCTCTGGGCCCAGGATGAAGCAGCACTTCCTGGGGAAAGGGCCCAGCAGAAGAGAGCAGCTCAGCTCATGGTGGGGTCAGAAAGCAGAAGGAGAGAAGGGAAGGGATCACAGGCAAGGGGCACCCTTCCAGGGCAAGCCCCTAGTGACCCACTTCATCCAGCCACACCTGACCTGCCTCCATTACCACTCAGTCATTCCACTCAAACTAGGATGGACTGATTAGGTTACAATTCTCATGAGCCAATCATTTTACCTCTGATTAGTCCTGCATTAACAGGAGCTTTGGGGGGGGACACCTCATATCCAAACCATAATAATTGCTGAAACAACATCTGGCTGTTCCCAAGTTTCAAATGGAGAAAGGAGGTCAGCCTAGGTCACCAAGCTTTTTGCTGATGTCGATGACATCTCACATGGTAATACGATCACATGGGAACATACTGGGGACCTGGAAACCAACTGAAAACAATTGACAATGTAGTGAGCCTGCAGGAATCTCTTACATCCAACAACAGTCAAAGAGGCTCGGGTTCAAAGGTTAAATGTCCCTTTTTCCTGTGTGGAAACCCGAGGCATGAGGGAGCAAACCCATTGGGAAGTTTCAGTCCCCAATAAACAGAATCCACATGCCCTTTTTAATTTTATATGCATATGGATAGACATGTATGTATATATAGACATTTTTTACTACTGTTGCTTTCATCTTACAGTATATTTATGTTTTATTCCATTTTTGAAATTTGTATTTCATTAGCCCACTATTTGAATTTCCAAGGCTTTGTTTTTCTTTTTTCTAAGAGAAAGAGAGAAAGAGAGAGAGAATTTATTTATTTATTTAGTTAGTTTTCGGCGGACACAACATCTTTGTATGTGGTGCTGCGGATCGAACCCTGGCCGCACACATGCCAGGCGAGCATGCTACCGCTTAAGCCACATCCTCAGCCCTATTATTGGATTTTTTAATGCTAATTCTCATTTCCATTCCTGGTATAAATGGTAATTGATTATTATAATATAATTTTTTAGATATTTATTTATTTTTTTGTTTTAGGTGGACACAATATATTTATTTTTTATGTGATGCTGAGGATCAAACTCAGTGCCTTGCACATGCCAGGCCAGCACACTACTACTTGAGCCACATCCTCAGCTCATAATATAATATTTTAGTGTGTTAACACATGGTTTCTAATATTTAAAATTATTACTTTGAGGTCTGGGGTTGTGGCTCAGTGGTAGAGGGCTTGCCTAGCACAGGTGAGGCATGGGTTTGATCCTCGGCACCATATAAAATTAATAAATAAAATAAAGTTATTGTGTGCTGGGATTGTGGCTCAGAGGTAGGGCACCTGCCTAGCATGCGTGAGGCACTGGATTGGATTCTCAGCACCATACAAAGTAAAATAAAAACATGTGTCCACCTATAACTAAAAAAATAATAAATAAATAAATAAATAAATAAATGTATTGTGTCCATCTACAATTAAAATTTTTTTAATTATACTTTGATGTTTATATACTTTTTTTTTTTTGGTGTGTTCTATATGGTTGAATCCAGACAAAATTCTCACCCTTCTATAATCTTCTTAAAGCTATTGGGAAGATTGAGTATTTTATAACTCCTGAATGATTTAATTATCATTGGTTTTTCAATAAGTTTATAAATAGAACTTCTCTCTGGACTCTTTGAACTTGGTTTCATTTTTCCTGTGGATATCATTCAATTTATAATTTCTGTCTCTATGGGGTAAATGCTGACAAAATGTATATTCTTAGAATGTGTGTCATTCTAAGATATTAATGTGCATAAGATTGTAAAATTTTCTTCCTGCTTACTTCTATCAATATTTGACTTCAAATTCTTCTTTGCACTGTAACTTGACATATCTTCTCAAGCTCTTGTGTGATCTCATCTCTCTACTTGTATTTAAATGACAGTTTAACTCAAGAATCTGGGGACTAAAGAGAATGAGAGTTTGAGATGGCCACCTCGGGGAAGCAGCAAATGACACATCTGATTTGCTGTGAGTCCCTCGTGTCTCAGACTGCAGTATTTTCTGCTCTCTCCTTGTGAGACCCTGATTGCCCTCAGGGATCACTGACAAGAAGAGCTTCTCTCAAACACTCTCATCTCTCTGGAGATGTTCAGGAGAATGTGACAATTGTTTCTGGTAATTGGTAATGGGGACTAAGTGTTCCAAAATATCTTAACTTCCCTGGTGTGTACTGTCAGTGTTAGTTCAGGTAGAATGATAATTGCGGATCTGGGGGAAGGTGAGGTCCCAGGACCACACACTTATATCCAGACTGGGCAGCCTCCCTCCGCACACTCACTGGACGCCCTGACTCTTACCCTGCGCCCAACTGCCTGGCAACAGTAAGTCAGGTGAGCATATTTTGTTTGGTTTGCAAGGCAGAATCTGCAAGGAAGTAAGTGTGTCGGGAAGCAAAGTAACTGCAGTATTTGGAAAGGGGGTTCTTTTAGGCTAGAAACTGAGCCAAAGCCACACAGGAGGGAGGAAATTATTACTGAGTCACAGGCTGAACTTCTGGAGAAGAAATGGAAGCCTAAGACCAAAAGCCTGTCCCAAACTGCTCCAAATTTAATTTAATGTAATACCTGCTACTTGTTAGTGGATTTTTATTTACTTATTTAGTGTCCATTTATGTGGGCCTATTTCTGATCTTTCAATTTTTTTTTCTACTTTTAGTTGTAGATGGACACAACACCTTTATTTATTTTTAGGTGGTGCTGAGGATCGAACCCAGTGCCTCACATGTGCTAGGCAAGTGCTCAGCTATAACCCAGCCCTTGTTATTGGATTTTAATGCATGAAACTGTGATATGTTTTACTAAAGTTCTCTAAAATAACTTGGATGGCTGGGAATATAGTTCAGTTGGTAGAGTACTTGCCTCTCATGCATAAGTCCCAGAGTTCAATCCCCAGCACCACATAAAAAATTAAAAAAAAATAATAACTTGGAAATTTAATTTATTAGCTGTTATTTCTTTTGAGAATCAGTGGCAATATTTCACAGATTAGCAAAATTACTTCTACAATACTTTCATGCCTATGATAATATATATGGTGTAGCAGATTGAAGTAGCTTATTATGCCAATAAATAGTAAGTATGGAGTGTTAATCCAGTCTGGGCACATAATATATTAAATAGAGGCAGTGCTAGTGTGGTTAAGAAAATATTTGGTACCTGTGGGTTATATTTAGAATGTTTTTCTTTTTGAAGACAGGGAAGCAACATTCAAGTAAAAGTAATAGTTTTTAGTATTGCATTATATTGTAATATTTTTTCTGGCTTCAAAAATTTTTTGAGGGGCTGGGGATGTGGCTCAAGCGGTAGCGCGCTCGCCTGGCATGCGTGCGGCCCGGGTTCGATCCTCCAGCACCACATACAAACAAAGATGTTGTGTCCGCCAATAACTAATAAATAAATAAATAAATAAATAAATAAATAAATAAATTTTTTGAATGTCATTCCCAGACTCACTACTCATTTACAAACTTTTAAATTATATTTGGTAAATAAGTTCCCTTAACACCTATTTTCTTTTGCATAAAATTCCTAAGTTTTAATATAATTAACAATGCTAATTTTGAAATAATTTGAGTGTTTTTTAATTCACAAATATTCATTTTCTCTCTAATGAATGGTAATTTAGTTTCTCCTCTGCAATATATAACCTTTTACTCATTTTTCATATCCCTTTGCTTAGCACAAAATTGGGTACTTTTCTTTTGAGGTGCTGGTGATCAAACCCAGAGTCTAGTGCATGTCAGGAAAGCCCTAGCATTGAGCTATACCCTGTCCCCTACACTTCTTCTTTTTTTAAAATTTGTTCGAATTAGTTATACATGACTGTAGAATGCTTTTTCCTACACTTCTTGATTAAGAGAAAGAATGTCTCTCTCTTTTTAAATCCAACTTGGAATAATTTGCACACTCACTAAATTTCACTTGATCTTTCTTTTAGAATTAGCTGTAATCAGGACACATATTTTAATTGGATCTTTCAACCATTGTGGGTAATATTTACCTATATAAGAAGCAATTTGAACTAAATAAAAAATTGCCACAATCACAATTTTTGTACATAAGCTATAAGCACTCTTGTAAAAACTGGCACAATGTACAAAGGCTTGAAAAATTGTTTGAAAGATTTAAAAAGCATAACTACATCAGAGGTTTAGACACACAGTAGTTAAGTACATTGTCTATTCCTAGCTCTGCCTCTTATAAGGAGGTGACTTTAGAAATGTCATTCAGCTTTCCTGTGCCTAAGATCTCTTCACCTGTAAAGTGGGAATAATAAAGTCATAGAATTGTTATGGTTTTAAATATTTTGGGGTTTCAATGGACCTTTATTTTATTTATTTATATGCAGTGCTGAGAATTGAACCCAGTGCCTCACACTTGCTAGGCAAGTGCTCTACTAACTGAGCTACAACCCCAGCCCTAGAATTGTTATTAAAGATACATGGAAAGCACTAATATAATACACTAATACTGGAGATATATATATGTTTCTCTTTTTACAGAAAAACACTTGGCAAAAAAAAAATTATGTTTTAATAAGAAAATTATGGGCACCTGGTCGTAGTAGCGCATGCCTGTGGTCCCAGCTGAGGCAAGAGGATCACAAGTTGTTCAAGGCCAGCCTGGGCAACTTAGCAAAACTCTGTTTCAAAATAAAAATAAATAACAAGGACTGGGGGCGAAGCTCAGTCATAGAACACCCCTAAGTTAAATCCCCAGTGCTATAAAAGGAAAAGAAAAAAAAAGAAAATGAAATTTATAGGTTGAAACAATGATAATTGGACAATAGTAGATTTCAGCTGCTGCAGTAAAACAGACTTCACATTTCCATTCAGGACCATCTTGCTGTGAGTGGGAATATCATTCACTGAAAAACGACACATGGCCTCCAGTGACTCAGTTATAGGAGTGATCTTCTTAACCCAGACGGTTGTAGGATTCCTGGGGAATGTTTTCCTTCTTTGCCATTATAGTTTACTTTACTTCACCACATGCAAATTAAGGTCCACAGATTTGATTCTCCAGCATCTGACTGTGGCCAACTCCTTGGTCCTGCTCTCTAAAGGAGTCCCTCAGACAATGGCTGCTTTTGGATTGAAACATTTCCTCTGTGATACCGGATGCAAAGTTGTGTTCTTTGTTCACAGAGTTAGCAGAGGTGTGTGTATTGGCAGCATCTGCCTCTTGAATGTCTTCCAGGCCATCATGATCAGCCCCATGACCAAGTGGCCAAAGTTGAAACTGAAAGCTTCCAGATACATTGGGCCCTTCAACAACCTGTGCTGGGTCCTAAACGTGCTCTTGAACAGTATGGTTCTTATTCATGTGACTGGGAAGTGGAATAGCAAAAATAACACATGGAAAAAGGATTTAGAATATTGTTCTGCGGGAGTTGGTAACATTACAAGAAGATCACTATACATAGTGGTGTTATTATCTTATGATGTTTTGTGTGTGGGACTGATGACCTGGGCCAGTGCCTTCATGGTTTCCACCCTATACAGGCACAAGAAGCAGGTCCAACATATTCATAGGACCAACCTCTCCCCCAGATCCTCTCCAGAGTCCAGAGTCACCAAAAACATCCTTGTTCTGGTGGGCATCTTTGTATCATTTTACACCTTCTCCTCTATCTTTGCATCATTTGTAAGTATTTTTCATAATCCCAGTCGGTGGCTGACAATCATCTCTGCACTATTCAGTGCTTGTTTCCCTGCAATCAGTCCCTTTGTTCTCATGAGCCACAAATCCAGGATATCCAGGCTCCATTAGGGAAAAGACAAACGTTGCCCTAAGCTGCTCAGCCAGCTCCACGTTCTATCTGGTTTGTATCTTTTTTGCAGTCTGTTTTTCTTTCCTTGTAGAGGTTTAGCACTGTAAGGAGCAGTAACAAAACAGAGTAACTAACAGATCAAATCTCTGCCTGCATAGGATCTATCATGCATTGGGAACCACAGTAACAGATTAAGGGTTTTGTAAAGTGCTTTTAGAGTTTTCATTTCATTAAATGTTGCAATTGCTGGGAATTTGTTGAAAGAAGAACAAGGCCTCTAATAATTTGGAAACAATGCAAACCTGATATGAGAATGTAACTTTAAGCCAATGAATTAAAAATGCCCTTAGCACAGAAGTATAAGAATTCTTTAATAAAATGGAAAAGCCTACATAACAGCCAATTGGAAAGTGAGAAGAAAAAACAGTGATTCTGTAGCAAATGACCTCGGAGAGAGCTGAAGGACTAATGTATCAGTCATTGCAAATACCGAAGAACTGCAAGGTGTGATGGCGCATGTCTGTAATCCCAGCGGCTCAGGAGGCTGAGACAGGAGGATCCCAAGTTCAAAACCAGCCTCAGCAATGGCAAGGCGCTAAGCAACTCAGTGAGACCCTGTCTCTAAATAAAATACACTCTATTTGTATTTTATTTAGAGACAGGGTCTCACTGAGTTGCTTAGTGCCTCATTTTTGCTGAGGCTGGCTTTGAACTTTCAATCTTCCTGTCTCAGCCTCCGGAGCCAGTGGGATTACACTGGCTCAGTGGATTTCTTCTTGATCAAAGACCTTTTTCTGCAGTATTCTTGCAGTGAAAGAAATCAATCTCCATATAATCTGTAAATTCTGTTGTATTTTAATAATATCTATTATTTATCCCTAAGTTGCTACTTTACTCTGTTCTTACCTCATTGTTTTTATTTGTTTACCCTTTTTTTACTTGTTCTTTTTAGATGAACAACAGTAGAGTGAGTGTATTTTGACATATTATACATACATGGAATATAACTTATTGTAATTAGCATCCCGTTCTTGTGGTTGTACATGATGTGGAGTTTCACCTCATTGTTTTTCAATCATATATACTTAGGGGAAACTTATTTTTATTTGGGTAATACAACTCTAGAAAAACAGGATTAATATTGACTACTAAAAATAACACTGAGTTGTGTATATTTTCTAATTATAGTATTTATATAGAACATAAAATATATTCATTTACAAACGAATATAAATATTTACAAAACATTTTCTTGGGGCTGGGGATGTGGCTCAAGTGGTAGCGCGCTTTGCCTGGCATGCGTGCGGCCAGGGTTCGACCCTCAGCACCACATACCAACAAAGATGTTGTGTCCACAAAGATGTTGTGTCCACAAAGATGTTGTAATAACTGAAAAATAAATATTAAAAAAAAAAAAACATTGTCTTGAAAAATGTAGTTTGACAAAATTTCAATTTGAATAAAATATGAGTCTTTTCAGTAAACCATTTATCTCATTGCTAATGAATAACAATTCAAACTTTCTGTGAAAGAAATAAAAGTTCCACACTCTTTGGTGAATCCCAGGAAGTAGTGTTATTATTGTTATCTTAAAGAATCAAACATGAGGAGCTGAGGAGACAGCTCAGTTGGTAGAGTGCTTGCTTCACATGCACAAGGCCCTGCGTTCAATCCCCAACACCACCAGGAAAAAAAAAAAAAGAGTCAAACATGAAGAGGTTCCTTGCTGCATCCAGGATGTGGAAGTGAAAGAGGTCCACCTGTGAGGAAGGGCCAGCCTGGACCCACTGACCTCAGTGCTCCCTCCACTCTCCAATACAGTCCAGTTGGGTGGATGCAACCTGGTAGCTCAGCAGGCCTGAGTGGAGAGGAGGTGGTGCTTTAGGACCAAGGCCCACTCCTGGGAAAGGGACAATTGGTATGAATCTTGGCCTCCTGGAAGGTTTGCAAAAGTACCTTGTGTTGTGGTGATTCCCATAGATGTTTAGCATCTCTCCTTGATTTGAGCAACTAGAACTTTTCTCCTTCTGGTTTTGTTTGTTTTGTTACCAGAGATTAAACTCAGGAGCACTGGACCACTGAGCCACACCCCAGCCCTAGTTTGTATTTTATTTAGAGATAGGGTCTCACTGAGTTGCTTAGGGCCTTACTGTTGCTGAGGCTGACTTTGACTTGCAATCCTCCTGTCTCAGTTTCCCAAACTGCTGGGATTACAGGCATGCACCACCGCAACCTTTTTATTTTGAGACAGGGTCTCACTAAATTGCTGAGACTGGCCTTGAATTTGGGATCCTCCTGCCTTAGACTCCACAGTGGCTGGGATTACAGATGTAACCACCACAACCATGCTGGCCCTCCTTCAGTTCTTGAGCCAGGGAAATTAATTCCTCCATCAGCATCAAATTAGTGCTCTTCGAATAATTCTTTAAGCATCTATAAGGCGGGATATATTTAAAGGCTTTTTTTGGTATCCTGTCATTCTCTAGGGATGACTCAATCTCTGCATACTCCTTTTTAGCAGCACTAAAGTTCTCAATAAATTGGTAATTTTTAAAGTCTGTGCAGGCAGTGTTTCTGCAAGCTGCTTTTCACATCAATTTCTAATAGGCTGAACAAGTATGAATAAAAATAACAGACCCACCAAGAAACAAATGACTCGTGGACCTACCAGGCCATAAAAATTAAGTTGTGGATTCAGGTTATGGGGCAGCAGCTCCAGCACCCTTTCACTCAGCTTGCCAAATTTGGGTCAGCCTAAACCAAAGCTCCATAGAGGACCACAGCCCTCCATGGCTCTGCCCAGGAACCCTGAATCCACCAACAGCAGCAACCTCAGGGTGCATGCAATATTCTATCTGGAACCAAATCCAATTTGAATTGGTCAGTTAAATGGTTGGTAGTCGGGGGAGATTTGGAAAATTAAACATGCCTGTGTCCATTATTACTTAACAATCATTCTTATTTAACTCATTCCTACTCGCTTCTTATCAATATATGATCAAAATACAGTGAAATGTGCCAATCATAAGTACATGAGTTGACAATTTTTAAAACTTTATACCTCTCTGTAGTATCCACAATCTTTATCAACATATAAAACATATCCATTAACAAAGAAAGTACTCTTTTTTTTTTATCAGTACCCACTGACTCTGACCTTATGCAGGTTTGATTTCTATTAATATAAGTGACTTTGACCAGTTCTTGAAACTTATAGAATGGAATGAATCACAATGTACATTTTTGATGTCTGTCCTTTTTTGTTCAAAATAGTGTTTTTCATGTGCATCTGTGTTTGTCTGTGTTAAGTGCCTAAGTGCCTAAGATGTGACACTGTATAAATATGTCACAGATTATTTGATGGACATTTGGATTGCTTTAAGAATAATGGGTTCTAAGCCAGGCATGGTGGCACATGCCTGTAATTCCAATGGCTCGGGAGTTGAGGCAGGAGGATGGTGAGTTCAAAGCCAGCCTCAGGAACTTAGTGAGGCCCTAAGCAACTCAGCAAGATGTTGTCTCTAAATAAAATATTTAAAAGGGCTAGGGATGTGGCTCAGTGGTTAAGCAACCCTGGGTTCAATTGCTGGTACAAAAAAAAAAAAAAGATAAAAAGAAGAAAGAAAGAAAGAAAGAAAGAAAGAAAGAAAGAAAGAAAGAAAGAAAGAAAGAAAGAAAGAAAGAAAGAAAGAAAGTTAAAAAAGAATATGGTACTAGCTGAGCCTGGTGGTACAGGCCTATAATCCCAGAAACTCAGGAAACTGAGGCAGGAGGATCATAAATTTGCGGCCAGCCTCAGCAAATATTAGTGAGGCCCTAAGCAATTTGGTGAGACCTTGTCTCAAAATAAAAAATAAAAAAGGTTGGGTTGTAATTCAGTGGTAGAGAGCCCTTGGGTTCAATTCCCTAGTACCAAAAAAAAGAGTCAAAAGTGATTCTATGGGGCTGGGGTTGTGGCTCAGTGGTAGAGTGCTCACCTAGCATGCATGAGGCACTGGATTCCATCCTCGGCACCACATAAAAATAAAATAAAGATACTGTGTCCACCTAAAGCTAAAAAATAAATATTAAAAAGTCATTCTAGGGATAATTGGGAAAATATTAATCTAAACAGGATGTCAGAATAGATGCAATTATTAATTTTAGTTTGATAACAATAGATGTGATTGGAGCTGGAATTGTAGCTCAGTGGTAGAGCACTTGCCTTGCACATGTGAGGCCCTGGGTTCAATCCCCAGCACTACATAAAAATAAACAAATAAAAATAAAGATTAAAAAAAACCACAATAGATGTGAGATGGATGGATACAGCTTGATATATAACTGCACCCATCTTGAGTCCTAATCACCATAATTACCCCTGAGAAACCCTAGCTAGTTTCTTCTGTACTGTTTCCCAGTAAACTGTAAATAAATAAAACAATTAAAATCACACATTGGCTTTACAATCAGACCCTGTATCCAGGAATGTGCCCGACTCTTCAATAAGATAAGCCAGGTACATTCTAGCCAAATAAAGAAATTTTTGTCTTGACCCATAAATATATCCCTCTTTCTGACTCAAATTGCAGGGATCCAACTGGTTTTGCTGCTGCCTAGAACCAGGCTTCCATCAGAATTTCCCCCAATAAATTGCATTCTATGCAATCTTCCATCTGTCGGCCTCTCCTTAGTCTCACCCATCATAAACTAGAACTGGGTTGTTCTAGGTGAGAGAATGTCCTTATTTTAAAGGGATGCATGATGAAATACTTAGGAATGAGGTATCATGAGCTGCAAACTTACATTTACAGAATTTAATCGCATACACACAAAATGCATATGTCAAAAAGTAAAGGAGGGCTGGGGTTGTGGCTCAATGGTAGAGCGTTTGCCTAGCAAGTATGAGGCACTGGGTTCGATCCTCAGCACCACATAAAAAAATAAAATAAAGATATTGTATCCATCTACAACTAAAAAATACTTTTAAAAAAGAAAAGGAATATGTTTAATATTAAAA